AGAACGGGTGGCTGGTGATGGTGGTGGAACTGATTGCTGAAAGGGGAGCTAAATCTGGTGAAACAAGAGGCTTCTTTGACCGACTAATCAGTAGGACGTGTAAATACCTGGAAAGTTTTAGGTTGTTGGGAAATTTCAGGTAGCTGTACAAAAGAAAGGAAGGGGAAGTTTAGATTGATACGTTGGACTTTAATAATTTTCTTACTGAGCTCTAGACACAGGTTTTCGTTATTACACAGTTCACCTTTTTGGTTGCAATGGAAGTTTAGATTGACGCTTTGCCAATTCCTGACTTTTGATTTCAATCTTGAACACATTTGCAATCGTATTTTGTTTTGCTAATTTTGTTGACCGCCGTCATTAGTTTATTTCATTTAAAAGATCGTCATTAAAAAGTTCATTTTATTTGTAGATCATTGTCCATCATGTGTGGAACACATCGACAATTTATGATATCAAGTAATATTCTCATAATGATTAACCATCAATTTATTTGATTTATATGAATGACTAAAAGGTAATCAAATGAAAGTTTCTAGAGACGACGAAAGGAATGACGAGTTCGAGTTATGATGTTTGTACAAAAAAATAATATCAAGTCGTGCCAACTAGTGCTGTGATTTCGTACCTCGTGGATAATGAGTCCAAACCGTATTATAGGTAGGTCACTGTGTGACATTGCTTAATCTTCATTTCTTAATGTTAATATATCTTTGTGTTAAAAGAACAACAGTAATTACATCCTTATGTGAGGAATGACCTCTTAAAATAAAAAAAAAAAAACTGTCCCTATTGCTCACCAAAAATAGAGACCAACCTCAAATGTCCCCATTTTAGCTAAATATCTGCAAGTAGCAGCAACAAACACAAAATAAACAAGCCGATAAAATATAGTCGACATACATTTTGATAGATTTTTCGGTGTGTCGGAAATACGACTTGGTATATGAAGTGTTCATAATATAAGTGGTTGAATACTTGAAAAAATTAAAATTCAACCACTTTATTATGACACTTGATGTACTGGACCGTGTGATCGGCACACTAAAAATTTCTTTACATTCTATGTTTCTCTTTTAATGCTTAGTGTTAGTTCATATATGTATATAGTGCTCTTTTTAATGCTTCTCTTTCCAAGTAACTTTATGAATACACACAGAACAACCAATGCTTCTTTTCCCCAATGAAAGATGTAACATTATAATTCAAGGTTTATTCTTATATATAACTGGTCCGACCAAAAAAAAAAATATGAATACATGGAGGTTATTCACTTATAGAGTATTACTATAAACTATAAAGCTTTATTGTACAAGATGATTTAAGAAGAAAATTCAATTCGCTAAAGCTTGAGAGACCTATTTTCTATTTGCTCGAAGGCAAATTGTAGTCAATGAAATTCTTGTTTGTCTCGTGTTCAACATATAATCAATTTAGACGTAATTTCTAAATAAGTGGAGTTTGAGTTTTAAATTGACAAAATTTTAGTTTGGTTGGTATTTGTGCACACCTCTAACAGTCCAAGTGATGTTTGCAAATTTTAAAATTTCAAAACCACCTTGCCTTGCCTTAAATTTAGAAGAGTAATTTATGCACATCATATTTCGTTTTTGTGCACTCTTATTTATTTTCAGAAATTATTAAAGAAACTATATTTTTAGACCATATTTTGTAGATTACATGATGTGATGATTGATGATTGAATTTCTTATTTAAATAATTAAATAAAGAATCCAACCATCAACCACTACATCACATGTTCTGAAATATATAGTTCAAGTAGATAGTATCTCTAGCATTACCTTTACTTTCGGCCACTAATAAATAAACAGGATATGTTGATTTCAACTAGAAATTTATAGAACTTTTTGTAGTATTCCAGAATATATATATTTTTTTGTCAAATGGTAGATTTTGTTATATTAAATGTTAGATTAACCACCGATGGGGTTTGAACCCACGTCGTCATACAAAAACTCAACACTTTTCTATCATTGTGGTAAATGGCCACTTGTTAGTATTCCAGAAAATATGATACTCTAGATTTTTTAACCATTTGATTTTTAGTTTAAAATACAAAATAAAAACTAACTGTTAAAATATCTAAAACATTCTATACTAGCTAGTATGCTGAGAAATTCGTCACATAAAGAATCCGGATCCTCTCCGAATTCTCTTTGTGAAGATTTCGAGGATCTGTGAATCATATCCGTTCGTCGTAGATTATACGGTCAAAAATCATTTTAAATGTTTTTAATTAAAATTAAATACAAATAATATTTGACAAAATATAACCACACGATGTACGATGAGAAAATACGATTTACTAATTCCCAAAATAATTCGCCAAAAGCCAGAGAGGATCCTGTTGGTCACATAAATAGCATTTTGTTCAACTGTCAGTGTTGCTGGCTAAAAATAGAAACCAACCTGTAATTGTCCCTAATCTGAATATCTAAATATCTGCAAGTAGCAACAGCAGCAGCAAACACAAAATAAACAAGAGGATAGAAATATAGTGGACGTACATACTATCCCTTCCACTCACCCAAAACTCCCTCCCAATCCCAAATCTCTCATTTCTCCACCTCCATTATCTTCTTCTTCTTCTTCTTCTTCCTCCTTCAGTCTCTTCAACCTTCCCCAATTATTCATCTTCTCCTCTCTCTCTCTCTCTCTCTCTCTCTCTCTCTCTCTCTCTCTCTCTAGATGGACCAAACATGAACCTCAAACCACCATCTTCTTCCCCGCTAGCCCCCAACTCTAACAACCCAATTCCTGTAACCCACCACTCTCTCACTCTCCATTGGGTTTCTTCCCCTCCCTACTTCCCCTCCATCTCCAACCCCACGCGCCCCTTTCGCCTTCTCGCCACCGCCAGCCCCACCAACCCAGCTTCCGACCTCTCTCTTACACCCGCCGCAGCGCCGCCCAATGAAGACCACAAGCTTCTAACGCTCCTCCGCCAGAGGAAGACAGAAGAGGCTTGGATTGCCTACACCCAGTCTACCCACTTACCCAATCCCACTTGCCTCAGCCGTTTGCTCTCTCAACTGTCTTACCAGAACTCTCATTCCGGCCTCACACGCGCCCAGTCCATCATCACGCGCCTCCGCAATGAGCGCCAGCTCCGCCACCTCGATGCTAACTCCCTCGGCCTGTTGGCCGTCTCCGCCGCCAAGGCCGGCCAGACCCGCTACGCTGTATCCATTATCAAGTCCATGCTCCGCTCCGGCTACCTCCCTCACGTCAAGGCCTGGAGCGCTGTTGTGAGCCGCCTCGCTGCCGCCACCGATGACGGGCCTTCCGATGCGCTCAAGCTCTTCTACTCAGTTACACGCCGTGTCCGGCGGTTTGCAGAGCCGGAGCTGGTGGCGGACTCGCGGCCGGACACGGCAGCCTTCAATGCTGCGCTTAATGCTTGTGCCAATTTGGGGGACACTAAGAGGTTCTTGAAGGTGTTTGATGAAATGCCTGAGTACGGCGCCAAGCCCGATGTGCTCACCTACAATGTTATGATCAAGCTGTGCGCCAGAGCTGGAAGGAAGGACTTGCTTGTTTTCGTGTTGGAGAGCATTCTTGACAAGGGCATTGCGTTGTGTATGACGACGTTGAACTCACTTGTGGCGGCTCTTGTCGGTTTTGGTGATTTGGAAACCGCGGAGAAGATGGTTCAGGCAATGAGGGAAGGGAGGAGAGACCTTTGCAAGATTCTAAGGGATTCAAATTTGAATTCGATGAGTTCAAATCCGAGTCTAAGCAATGGGGATGTTTTCGAAAAGTTGCTTCCTAATTCGGTTAGAGGAAATGATTCGGAGCCGCCATTGTTGCCTACAGCGTATACTTCTGACTCTAGAATTTACACCACTCTAATGAAGGGTTATATGAATGCCGGTCGCATTACTGACACAGTTCGGATGCTGGAGGCACTGAGGCACGAGGATGATAGCGCAAGCCATCCTGACCATGTAACATATACAACTGTTATTTCTGCATTTGTGAAGGCTGGCTCCATGGACCGTGCTCGTCGAGTGCTTGCAGAGATGACAAGAGTTGGTGTGCCTGCAAATCGGATTACGTATAATATTCTTCTCAAGGGTTATTGCCAGCAGCTGCAGATAGACCAGGCCAAGGAGCTGCTTAGAGAAATGGCTGATGATGCGGGGATCGAGCCTGATGTGGTTTCATATAACATCTTGATTGACGGATGCATACTGGTTGATGACAGTGCTGGGGCACTTGCATTTTTCAACGAGATGCGAACGAAAGGAATTGCACCCACCAAGATCAGCTACACCACACTGATGAAAGCGTTTGCCTTGTCGGGTCAGCCGAAGCTGGCAAACAAGGTGTTTGATGAGATGCTTAATGATCCTCGGGTGAAGGCTGATTTGGTTGCCTGGAATATGTTGGTTGAAGCGTACTGCAGACTCGGGTTGGTTGAAGAAGCCAAGAAAATCATTCAGAGAATCAAAGATAACGGGTTTCACCCCGATGTGGCAACTTATGGCAGCCTTGCCAATGGAATTGCATTGGCTAGAAAACCTGGAGAGGCGCTCTTGCTCTGGAATGAAGTGAAGGAGAGATGTAGGGTGAAAGAAGAGGGAGAAACTTCAGGTGCTTCCGACCCGCCAACACTGAAACCGGATGAAGGGCTATTAGATACTCTGGCTGATATCTGTGTCAGGGCTGCTTTCTTTAAGAAGGCTTTGGAGATTGTGGCTTGTATGGAAGAGAACGGGATTCCTCCGAATAAAACCAAGTTCACTAAGATTTATGTGGAGATGCATTCCAGGATGTTTACTAGCAAGCATGCCTCGCAAGCCAGGCAGGACCGGAGGAGCGAGAGGAAGAGAGCAGCTGAGGCTTTCAAATTTTGGTTGGGTTTGCCAAATTCTTACTACGGGAGCGAATGGCGGCTAGAACCTATAGATGGAGATGAATGATATTATGCTTTTGAAAAACCTGGTATGTAATTCCAGTGAAAAGAAATATTCCCATGTAATATAATCATGTTACATTATAGGCAATAGATAATTTGGTCCTTCACAGAACACATTTGATATGTGTGTGTTAAATATCCAGGCCACTGTTTCGACTACAAAATTATCCATTTCGAAAATCTAATACAATTTGGCTTTAGATTCTGCAAGTGCTTTTGCTTCTGAAACAAACTTTACAAGAAAGATGAACAAATTTCGATGTGGCGTGAACTGCTGCACTAACCTTAGCCTCTTGATCTTGAGGACGATTGACTCCGAGAATAAGACGATGATAGTACCTGAACAAAAATCATGGTTAAATAAGAGCTGCTGGACATAAAAATCATCATCGACATTGAAAAATTTAATAGGGGTAATTGTTTGTGTTGTCGGCATTGGAATCTTATGAGTTACCCAAATAGGTTGCCTATGGTTATCTGCAGGTTGTGGTACCTGGTATGTCTTTGCTCCTTTCTTCAGTAGATAACCAACACTGTTTAAGTTGTCAACAAATGTGTCGATGTCTGGAACTCTTAGACCAATCCTATCTGCCAAACTGTATATTTCCTGAAACAAAAGAGGATTGCTCGAATATGAGTTACTAAAGGAGCATGAATAATTGCAAAATCGCATAAAAGCATGCAGACGTACAGAAATTGTAAAACAGTCTTTCTGCTGCAACTCTGATTGCCTATTGAGGGCACTTAAGAACCGTTTTGCTTCTTTTTGTTGACTCATCCCTCCACTCCGACCAAAATCCACAACACCATGCTCATCAATGTACTTGTCATACAAGGATTCTCTCATGATTTCAACCACATCCTGCAAAATAGAATGATTCAGAAGGTCTATCCAAACTCAGTTGTCTTAATTTTTTATCGATTGTGGAGTAGGCCATTAGCACATGAATAGCTCAATGATTAGCATTCAAATTCTTTCCCAATAGGACTACTGAAAATACTGGATCAGTGAATCTCACATCCAGAATACTAAGTCTTCCATGACAATGTATACTTGTATCGGATCCTGGACCTTCCTATATTGGGAGAGCAGGGTAACTGAAAACATTTGTTAGATAGAAGAATAAGAAGTAACCATTGCATCTTGGGCTGTTATTTCTTCTCTCAAATCTAGCCTCGCTCGAGCTTCGGTCAGCCTCACCAGACTCTCTAATTGCCTTGCTGTTATTGGTGTGCTATCAGCAGATGTCGCATGGTCTCTCAGTTTTAAGTAAAACTTTTGCAGGATTTCTGCTGCAGGCTTTGACATCCTGGTTCACCCCAAAATGAAAACTTGAAGGAAAAAAATGGGAGAATTGAATTGCAATTCTTGCAACAGAAATTGGATGCACAAGAGTCACACAAGTCATGTGAAAATCACCTAGGAAACACAAAAGTTCTTGCATAAGCAATATACTTGCGGAGGAGTTGTACTGGTAATGGAACAAAATCCTCATCCTTCTTCGGGTCAAGCCTCAATCTTGAAACCAAAGAACCACCTTCTCCACTAATATCTATGCCTTCCGCACTCTGTGATGCTGCACTTTTTGATGCAAAAGGCAATATCTTGTTAAATAGAGAATTGTTTGTATGCGGAACTGCATTTTATGATATGAAATGACTCCCTTGCTCTACAAGAAAGAACTAATATGTCTGGATATGTTAGACACTACCTCTACGAATCTTTTTTGCAGCTGGCGAATTTTCTCTAGATCCAGCATGAAGCTACATGATAAACAACCAAAATCCTTGAATTAAACACTGAACAAAGAAAATTACCTAGTAGTCTGTTATCGCTTCTTTTGATCTTTTTTCGTTACTGCCATTACAAGTTCCTGAGAACCCGGTTTACTAAGCTCCTACCATACTCAACCAATTTCATTACACATACGTAGTATCAAAACACTAGCAAATAACTAAAAAGACATATTGTAGGTAGGGATCAGATACGAGAACTTACTGACATGATGTGTTCTGAGACTCGCTTATCCAAAAGTTCATTAGGTTTGTCAAGTAATATGAAAACCAAATCAAATCGCGATAAGAGAGCAGCACTTATTTTCAAATTTTCATTCACTGTTTTTGCACGGCTGCAAATTTGAAATGTTAATGGTATCAAAAAATGCAGGACTGAAATGTAACAATATCAAAGCAAAATATATGTTATTTTGTTAATGAAGGGAAATACGAATGGGAATTCGCAGATTGATATAGAATTCTCTGAAATGAACTACAAGGGGTATGAAACAAGTTTCATGTGGATTTAGTGTAGGAAATGACAATGGGATCAAAACTTAATCCATTATCAGAATTGTAACAGTGCTCTCACCACCAAGTTAAAATTAAAAAGCATTACTTATAATGACCACCAACAGGATTTGCAGCTGCTAAGACAGAAGTTCGTGCCGACAAACTTGCCACCAGTCCAGCCTTTGCGACTGAGACACACTGTTGTTCCATGGCTTCCAGTAGAGCCTGCAGCAATGTCAAAGTAAAAGAAGCTTCTTGCAGAAATTAAATAATAGAAAATAATACAGAACAACTGGGGACAAACCTGATGCTCTGAAGACATTTTGTCAAACTCATCAATACAGCACAACCCACTGTCCGCAATTACCATTGCACCTAATCCAAAATTTGATTATCATTTATTAGCGCACAGCATTTTATACTTGTTCATTACTGACCGAGTCATAGGTTGCAAATGATCTGGACTTAGATGTCTCTGTACCTATAGCATTTCTAAAAGTTAAAAATTTAGTACAATTATGTAATAGATGAGAAGCGGATCAATTATATTTCTCTTTCTCATCCAGTATGTGTGGCCGTACCACTTGGAAAAACTCTGAGTTATTGCTTTGGACTACCAAATTAATTATTTTGTTCATAATCGTTTGAAGCTATAACAGCAGAACACATACTGGAAGAAGAATAGTTATCCTTTCCCTTGAGAGAGATGGATTACTAGTTAAGTCTCACCAATCAACTATGAAGTTAATCATAAGTAGACATTCATAAGCAGATATTGCATTCAATTACAAGATAGCATTAGGATATCTTTATTGCCAAGAAAATAGCAGCAAAAAAGGATGATGAATGAAAGAAAGAAAAGAATTACCAGCTTCAAAACCATAATCACTTGTCATAGGATCCTTTACAACAGCAACAGTGAGGCCAGCTTTGGTTGTGGCATTACCACACACATAAATGCCTCGTGGAGAAATGGCTGCCGCTGCTTGGAGAAGCTGGCTCTTGCCTAGTCCGGGATCACCTAAAAAAATGAGGAGGTACATGTTCATCTTCTGTTTTCCACCCACAAATTACCAGGTTTAGTACCATTTTTAAGAGCATGATGGGGTTCAAATATACCAACAATTATGACATGGATATCTCCTCTAACAGGAACCTTGTTCTGATCATTTGAATTCTTCCGCACACCTCCAAAGAGTGCCAGCAATATTCCCGCTGTAAAAAAAAAAAAAATGTAAATTAGCATCATCATAACGCTTAATGATCAAGTTCAGGAGATATTCTTAGTGAGGAGTCAAATGTGGAACTTGAGAAACTAGGTGGGTTTCATCATCCATAAGTGACTTATATTACTGTTGGCATCTGATTTTCTACCAAAAAACAAAACCCTTGTTCAGTGAAATTTTAAAAGAACTAGTAGTTGTGAAAGAAAACTATGGACGTAGTGACATTATTAATAGAGATATTTCTGGATATTTTCCTTTTCATCTAGTTCTGAATAAGTTGGTGCAATGTTATCACAATTACAGGGATAAAATATAAGAAAATTGAGGAAACTGAATCAGTAGATAACCAAAAATGAAATAGCATGAAATTTTTAGGGACACAATATGGACAATAGTATTAAGGTTACCTTTAACAAGCTCGTGACCAAAGATTGATGGACAAATAGATTGAAGTAGTTGCCTGAAGGTATCTGGACCATGTTCCTCTGTGAACTTCACAATGAATTCCAAATCCCTTGGGGAAAATGAGGAAAGATCAACAAGTGCCATAGGTCTGTCATTAGAACTAGAATCTTGTAAATCCTCGGGCATAGATTGTGACTTTGTGTTTTTAATGGAAATAGCTTCTAGATACAAATAGTAAATTCCTTGAGTTTTTCCCTTCGATTTGCCTGAAATGATAAAAAAATAAAAAAATAAAATCCAATGTATATTAGTGGTGGGAATTGGTTCAAGAACTGCAATTGTCTGTCATTCATGTAATTGGAACTATCCTTTTTTCTGATCAGTTGCACACTTATGAATCAGATAAAATTATTTCCAAAGGCATAGAAGCTTGAATGTGCATGCAGGATACTGGATTGAATTAGGAAGAATTTCTTTACCTCCTCCAATGTCCATGTAATTGTTAATGACTCTTATAATCCCAGTGAGAGTCACCACATCTCCTGGGATGCATGCATCAACAAGATCTTCAAAAAGTTCACATTCTACTGTTCGAGGCATCCTGCCTTCTTCATGATCTTCAGGCTTTAGTAGCTCCTGTATCCTTAAGAAGCATCAAAGAATTTTAACAAGGTTCAATAAAGGAAAATATAAATTGTGAATTTGGTTCATATCCAAAGTGCCTACCTTATCTTCTGAAAATCTATCGTCACAGCAGTAGATCGAATGGGGTCAAAATTTCTGCTCTTGCACCCATTTAGATCGCATGTTGTTGGCGGTGAAAATTTCCCATCAGGACACATGCGTGTAATACTTGTTTTACACTTCACACAGTCAAAATCCATTTGCACCACAAAAGGTTTGACATTGCTAACTTTTACTACTGTACCACGCACAGATACAATCTTGTCTGTCATGTAATCACCTCCACATTAATTCTATACAATCGACCAAATGTATAACACGTGAAAACCAAAAAAAGGCCTTAGAGTATAGTATACACACCAATACATGCAGCTTTTAAGTTCTTCAAGGCAATCATGGATTCGGGGTAGTTATGCAATCGAATATTAATTTTGGTACCGTCCTCTACCCTGCAATTGTCCCATTGAGTCAGCAGGACTTTGTGAACTGCAGCACTCATGCATAAGAGGGTTATCTTGGGTTTCTCCTCTAAAGCTTCATAAAACTCCTCAACATCACAAATTTTTCGAAATTGCTCGAAATCAATCGGCAACACCGCCACACCACCATCATCCTTCACCTGCACCAAGTGTCATTCCAAGTACAAATTACGAAATTTAGCCTCAAATCAAATGTTTCATAAACCCTAAACCCTAATTAATGCAATTGATGGCCGATACCAAGTAATCGGTGTAATCAAATTATACATTTTGGTTGGAATTAACAGATTTTATAGAAGGAGGAGAGAGAAATGAGACCTGGGAAAGGAGAGCTTGCCCCGGCGTCGTGGAGAAGAAGCCGATGAGGGAGTGTGTGAGACTGAGCCATGGCTTGTCGTCGCCGAGCTCGATTTGAGCAAAGTAGAGAGGCCAGATGGTGTGGAGATCAGGTGCGTAGGAGGAGCCGTAGTTCGAGCTTAAGCTTCTCCGTTGTGCTCCGTACATGGCGGTGGAGAGATAATGCAGGTGCAGCGGTTTGGGGTTTTGCTTATGCGCTTATGGTGTTGAAAGTCCCGGCCCCCCTGGGTTTTGGCGGGAGAAATGAAAAGAGTTGTCCGATACGGTGGTGGATTTGAAGTCGTTTTGCGAGTATACGATTGCGATCGCCCTATTTTAAGGCTTTTTTTTCTTTCTTATTTTTTATTCTTACATTAAATTTTCACTCATTTTTACAAAATGACTCTTAATTTTATTCACACTAGTTCTATTTAGAATAGGAATGTGATTGTGTAAATCCTAGAGAATATGGGAAAGTATTATATATTCCTATTATGATTTGATTACCTATTAAATGTTGTAATCATAAAGGGAAATGTATTTACCCTTCCAACTATTATAAATAAAGGCACAATGAGGTGAATCAAACACACCTCACAATTAAATCAATCTCTCTTCTCTCTAAAGTGGCCGGCCTCCCTCTCTCTCTAAACCTTAGATCGCTCAATTAAATAGGCCTATAACACGTTATCAGCACGCTTTTGCCAGAAGCTGAGGAACTGAAGCATCGTAGGATGAGGCTATCATCCACCACATTCAAAGGCTTATTCGTTTTCTGCTGCTTAGGTACGCTTAAAATAAAGGAAGATATTGAAACGACCCATGAAGCATGAAAACATTCCCCATGATGCATGAACCCCCTATGTTTATATTATCCTTCCAATATATATATATTGTATATGTTCATATATTTGTCACTATATATATTTGTTTCATGCATCTCACAATTAAATTGTTATGTAGAATTTGTGAGTCAATGTATAAAATTAAATTAGAAGCATATTAGGTTTTTCCTAAAACCTAAAGGGAATTGAAAAAAAAAAAAAAAAGGGGAATGGGATTTGGTGCATCGCACCATCCCTGTGACAAAAAGGAAAACAGGCTTCGCCCTGATTTTGGTTTCTTTGCTGGGCTTGCAACCCATGGCCTCTCTCGGCCTACATCAAAAACCTGCCAGCCCTCGGGCTGGGCCTCTTGCGCCACAAATCAAGGCTCCAGCTTCGCTGGGCTCCCTGCGTGACCAACCTGCAAGCCTTGGGCTTGCCCCCGTGACCCCTTAGACCAAAACACCTAAACCAGCTACGGCTGGGGGTTTTGTCCCTCCTGTGGCCTGCAGCCATACCCTAGGCCCTATCGTTTTTACTCAAGGCACCCCGTGCCTTCCCTTACCCACGGCACCCATGCCCAAATTATTTTGGGGCATTTTTCCACCCACAAGCTATTATTTTAGCATTTTAAATAATTTAACCAGTATGTGAATATTATTTGCTTCTACAATCGACCCTGTATGGCCCGATTTATTGAATTAATTAAAAGTGACCTGCAGTCCACTAATTTGATAATGAATCCAAAATTATTGACCTGAATATCACTTTTGGACATTAATGATTCAATAATTTATTTTTATACTTTGAACCGTCACATACTTTCATAGTACCGAAGCTCTCACACTTGAGTTCCCGAAGCCAACTCAAATCCACTACACTTAGTTAGTATATTGCATTCTGTATTTCTTGCAGGAACCTCTCATTATGAACTAATCGTTCATAAAACTAATTTGAACCTGTAGTTTCAAAATTTGTGCCTTTGAAACCTGAAGTTTTCATTCAAAACATACCACATGAAACCTGAAGTTTTCATGCATAAATTAAACTAATACATGTCTATAGAACCTGTATGTTCTACGATATATGTCTATGGCTTACCATATGACTAATCACGTTTTTCCCTCTGTTTTAGGGACATGTCGAACTTGAACAAGCTCGATTTCTCCGCTCTCGAAGTCTCTGGAAGAAACTATCTAAAGTGGGTTCAAAACATGGAGCTCCATCTCACTGCAAAGGGTATTAGAGCCACCATTGAGACACCTATTGTCGACAAATTTATCGACGAAGCTTAGAAGGCTACTGCAATGATCTTCATTCGAAGACACATCCATGATGCATTGCAGACTGAGTATCTCGCTGAGGAAGACCTATGCACCCTCTAGCTTGCTTTGGCTGACCGTTTCGATCACCAGAAAGACATACTTGCCTGAAGCATGACATGACTGGCAGCATCTTCGCTTCTAAGATTTTAAGTCCGTGAATGAATACAACTCTGAAGTTTGTAGAATCCGTTATTTGTTGAAATTCTGCAAAGTGGAACTAACCGAATCAGATCTCCTGGAGAAGACCTATTCGACCTTTCATGCCACCAATATTGTCCTGCAGCAACAATATAGGGCATAGTAATTCACCAAGTTTTCGGATTTGATCTATGTTTTACTTCTTGCTGAAAAGCAGAACCAGCTTTTGATGAGGAATCATCAAGCTCGACCCAATGGCTCAAACGCTGCGCCTGAAGCGTATGCGACCAATTTTAGCAGCCATAAACTACGAAAGAACAGTCGTGGACGTGGAAATGGGCGGTAAGCCCAACCACGGGCCCAAGGTCAACAGAGTGCCGCACCTAAGGGAAGAATTGCGACCCAACAATGTCCACCACTCACACCTAAGGTCCCAAACTTCAAGAACAAGGGAAAAGCTCCCGTTCAGGGCGCTTCTACTGAACTGGATATGTGATATCGCTATGGATCAAATGATCATTGGTCACGCGTATGCCGAGCTTCCCCTGAGGCTATTGCCAAGTATCATTCCCGTCGTGAGTCTAACTTTGCACATGTGGATCATCCGGACGATGCAACCACATCAATGGAGATATCAGACTTCTAGGAGGCATCAGCACCTATGGAAGACTAAATTAGGCATGTTTTAGGGCATTAGCCCCTAGTGGCCGAACCCACTATGAGTGTCCGGCCCCTACCCCTTATTTTGCTAGGTTTATGGTTTAATTTTGAACAATTTTTCTATGTATTTGGAATCATTTGTTTGGTTTGGGCTTGTTTTGAATTATGGATTGTTATTGGAATATATATTATTTTCTCGAATTGCTTAATTGAATGAATGGACTTATATTTATGCATGTGACCAATTCAATCAATTTATTTCTAGGTATGTCTAGTGGGGAAGTTAGTTGTCTGGCAGATAGTGCAACTACGCACACCATTTTGTGTGAACGACACTATTTTACTAACTTCATACCCAAGAAAGCTCATTTGACAACTCTCTCAGGCTCATCCAACCTGATTGAAGGATACGGAAAGGCACGTATCATGTTGTCTAATGGTACAATCTTGACCATTAAGGAGGCACTCTATTTTCCACATTCCGGAAGAACGTTGCTGAGTTTTAGAGATATTCGAGGTAATAAATATCATTTTGAAACCACTGAAGATCATGGTTCTGAATTTCTTTGTATCACTTCATACGAATATGGCCAAAAGCATATACACGAGAAGTTGGAACGTCTGCCGAATGGGTTGTACATCACAACCATTCGTAGCATAGAGGCCCACAGTGTGGCCGGCTCTATGCCTGAGTTCCAGGACACTTTGTTGCTTTGGCATGACCGTTTAGGACATCCTGGACATGACATGATGCGTCGTATCCTCAAATCTTCACACGGGCATAAGTTACATCCACACGTTGGAGTCCCGCCATGCATAACGTGTTTTTTAGGGAAGTTGAATACTCAACCCTCCCATACAAAGATTAATTAAGACCCTCCTAAATTTCTTTAAAGGATTCAAGGGGACGTTTGTGGACCTATCCAACCAACCTGCGGAACATTTAGATACTTTATGGTGTTGGTTGATGCATCGACAAGATGGTCACATGTTTGCTTGTTGTCCACACGCAATGTCGCGTTTGCTAAACTCCTAGCTCAAATCATTAAGCTAAGGGCTCACCACCCTGATTATTCTATTAAGTCGATTCAACTGGATAATGTTGGAGAGTTTACGTCACAAACTTTTGACGATTATTGCATGTCAGTAGGGATTAATGTAGAACATCATGTGCCCCATGTTCACACCCAAAATGGCCTGGCAAAAGCTTTCATAAAGCGCCTTCAATTGATAGCTCGGCCTTTGGTTATGAGAACCAAACTGCCGGTATCTGCCTGAGGCTATGCAATATTGCACGCAGCTATGTTGGTTCGCCTGAGGCCCATCGCTACCCAACCACATTCACCGTTACAGTTGGTCACTGGATACGAGCCTGACGTCTCGCATTTACGGGTGTTTGGGTGCGCCATTTATGTGCCAATAGCACCGCCGCTACGTACCAAAATGGGTCCTCAGAGAAAAATGGGAATCTATGTCGGTTATGATTCGCCATCAATTGTTCGATACTTAGAACCCTTGACAGGAGATCTCTTTACCGCACGTTTTACGGATTGTCACTTTGATGAGACAGTCTTCCTGTCGTTAGGGGGAGATAAGCATGCTAACGTTCCTGTAGAACGCCGCAAATTGTCGTGGTATGCTTTTACTATGTCTCATTTAGATCCCCGCACTGCCCAGTGTGAAACTGAGGTGTGACGAATTATAGATCTTCAGAGCATTGCTCAAAGCATGCCGGATGCTTTTAATGATCTAGCAAAGGTGACCAGATCACATATACCCGTTGCAAACACACCTGCAAGGATAGATGTACCCCGCGTACATCAACAGCCCGTCTGGGAAGGCCGAGCCGTCCCCGAAGGTGGGGAGGCCGCACCCTCCACACAGTATGGTACATTGGCGGCTAGCCAATCATCTACTCCGACCCTGAAGCATGGCAGACCCCCTGGTTCAAAGGATTCACAACTCTGGAAGAGGAAAATGGCATCAACTAGTGACCCTAGTTTGAATCCGACCATCGCTGACTCATCCGTTCCAACGCATGAGGTTATTCTAGATTACGATGATGCTTCAGATGAAACATGCCGGCCTCCCGAGAATCGCGAGATTTCGGTCCATTACACAGTATTGGATGAGGTTTGGAGTAGGAATGAGATGATCGTCGACGACGCATTCTCGTACTCAGTAGCTACTGACATCATGCTTAACGATGACATTGAACCACGTTCCGTCGATGAATGCCGACGTAGAACCGATTGGTTAAACTGGAAACAAGCAATCCAGGTCGAACTTGATGCGCTCGCGAAACGTAAAGTGTTTGGACCTGTCGTCCCTACACCACCACGCGTGAAGCCTGTTGGCTACAAGTGGGTTTTCGTGAAGAAGCGTAATGAGAAGAATGAAATAGTGCGATACAAAGTACGCCTCGTAGCGCAAGGCTTATCTCAACGCCCTGGAATTGATTACGAGGAGACATATTCCCCCGTAATGGATGTTATAACGTTCCGCTACCTTATCAGTTTGGTAGTTTCCGAAAAACTGAATATGCAGCTTATGGACGTGATAACTGTGTATCTCTATGGGGATCTAGATACGGAAATATACATGAAAGTTCCAGAAGGACTTCCATTGACTGGCTCAAATAGTTCTAGACCACGGAACACTCTCTCAATTAGGTTGAAGAGGTCACTCTACGAATTGAAACAATCCGGGCGGATGTGGTATAACTGTCTGAGTGAATATTTGACAAGTCAGGGCTATATGAACAACGAACTATGCCCATGTGTATTCATAAAGAAGTCACATTCCGGATTTGCAATTGTTGCAGTTTATGTCGATGACATGAACCTTATTGGTACTCCCGAAGAGCTTGAGGAAATTGCTGCACACTTGAAATCGGAATTTGAGATGAAGGATCTTGGGAAAACTCGATATTGCCTCGGCCTGGAGATCGAGCATTGTTCAGATGAAATCTTAGTACATCATTCGAACTACACCCAAAAGGTGTTACATTGCTTTAATGAGGATAAAGCTAAACCTTCGAGCACTCCCTTGATCGTTCGGACTCTAGATACTAAACGAGATCCCTTTCGTCCAAAGGAGGATGAGGAAGAGATTTTGGAACCCGAAGTTCCTTACCTAAGTGTAATTGGTGCTTTATTGTACTTGGCTCAGTGCACTAGACCCGACATCTCCTTCGTTGTGAATCTATTGGCTAGATATAGCAATGCACCTACACGCAGGCACTGGAATGGTGTCAAAGACATTTTCCGCTACCTCAAGGGTACTACGGATTTGAACTTGTTCTATACCCACAAATCTCCTAGTGTTGTCGCCCCTTATGGATCTAGGATTGATTCTCGTCTTGTTGGTTACGCAGATGCTGGATATCTGTCTGACCCACATAGAGCACGTTCTCAAACGGTTTATGTCCTTACCGTTGGAAACACCGCTATTTCTTGGAGGTCTACCAAGCAAACGCTAGTTGCGACTTCGTCTAACCATGCTGAGATTCTCACCCTACATGAAGCATCGCGTGAATGGTTTTGGCTGAGAGAAGTGATGGGACACATTCGAAGCACTAGTGGTCTTACATCAGTCGTTGACCTTCCTACGACGATCTTTGAAGACAATGCAACATGTATCGAGTAGTTAAAGAAGGGATACATCAAGGGAGACAACACCAAGCACATAGCGCCAAAGTTCTTTTTACTCACACCAACAGCAGCAGCATCAGAACATTGAAGTCAAGCAAATGCGTTCCCAGGACAACTTGGCCGATCTCTTCACCAAGTCATTGCCCAAGTCTACATTTCATAAGCTCGTCCAAGGAATCGGTATGCGTAAATTATCAGAATTAAATCGCTTGTAGTTCTCTTATTTAAGAAGTTATGTCTAACTCAGGGGGAGTATCTAGAAGCATACTCACATGATCTTAATGTACTATTTTTCCCTACGATTAGGAGCATTTTTCCCACTGGGTTTTTGCTACCTAACTAGGTTTTAACGAGGCACCCATTCTGGGATGATCATACTCCGTTGAGTTCACTATATTTGTCCATTTTGACGATTGTTTTAGACATTATGCATATTTTCTTACTTTTCTCCTTAATCTATGGGTTTTCCCCATTCCTTGGGTTTTAACATAGCGAGGTTTTGTGAGTTTTTACAAATGTACACTTCAAATTAAATTTGAGACTCGCGATGACCCGTTGTGCTGATGACTTCATCAACTATTCTACCTTCTCTGCTGAAAATCTGATGCGATGGTTTGTTGAGTATTTACACACTCAAGGAGGAGTGTTGCAGTTCTATTTAGAATAGGAATATGATTATGTAAATCCTAGAGAATATGGGAAAGTATTATATATTCGTATTAGGATTTGATTACATATTAAATGTTGTAATCATAAAGGGAAAGGTATTTACCCTTCCAACTACTATAAATAAAGGCACAATGGGGTGAATCAAACCACACCTCACAATTAAATCAATCTCTCTTCTCTCTAAAGTGGCCGGCCTCCCTCTCTCTCTCTAAACCTTAGATTGCTCAATTAAATAGGCCTACAACACACACAACCTTATTCTTCTTATACTAATTTTTGTAGTAAATAAAGTCGTATGTGTAGGAAAAGAAAAATGGTGTATGATTATTATTTTTCTTAGGTTTAAAAAAAAATTAAACAAAGTAATGTTAAGGACAATTGCTTGGTAAAAAAAATAAGGATAATGTTAAATTGATTTTGAATGACAAAAATTAAATGTAACATCCCAAATCGCCTTATATGTACATGCCCACCTCCTATAACACAAGGCTTTTTGGAAACTCAATGGCTTCAGATTTCATCGAAATTCCGAAGTTAAGCGAGTTTGGGTGAGAGCAATCTTAAGATGGGTGACCCACTGGGAAGTTGGGAAGTTGCTCATGGGTTCCCAAAAATAAAACTGTGTGGGTGTGGTCGGGGTCCAAAGCAGACAATATCGTAATACGATGGAGTTGAGATTGAGATATGTCATTAAAACACAGAATTTGATAAAGAGTAATGATGTCATTGCTTGGCGGAGGAATCTTATAGCACATTGCTAACCATATCAGTATCATGGTCATTGATTACATCTTTCTTCCACTTGATCATTATTAAAAATATCTTGACATTAAACCATTTCTTGATCGTTATGAACCTTTGTACCTCGCGAATTTTCTTTGATACATAATTCACAAAAGAATAGTAATTACACTATTAAATTAAACTCTTATACACAAAACAAATACTTTAATTTACAAACACCTTAACATATATAATATTGTGTGTGTGTGTGTGTTTTTTTTTTTTTTTTAAATTTTGGTTATCTACACTAAAGGGGGGTGAGCTTAGTCACACAATGAACTAACAATAATGTAGTTAAAATTCGTCTTTAGTGAAAATTGAATCTAAAACCTCTCATTTATAAGTGAACATGAATATCACTAGACTGTAGTACTAAATGACAAATACGTAGTAGTTAAGTGTACTTGAATGGAATCAAAGAATCAATTTCTTCTACTTATATTCCTATGCTTAAGACAATCGACCCTAAAATGTCCAAGGGGAAAATTATTTTTCTTGCCCTTGTTCTGTGTGAACTATTTAGAGTTACCTTATTATTATTCTTTTGTGGCTTATTACTTTATTAACTTTCAGCTAGCTGAAGACTACCCTCTGTTAATCTTGTCATTTTCCTTCATTTGGTTTCAATCTGACTTCCTTTATAGCCAACATGGAGGGTAATTTGTTTATGGTTAACTCTTTTTTTTTTTTTTTTTGGGTCAAAGGTTAACTCTTTTTTGGCCATAAGGCAAAGTAGTTAGTACATGATCCCAAAATTCTAGCAAACTATCTAGAAGTATAGAACTTGCATTTTGTCTAGAATAGGATGACCAGCATAGCCGTGAATATGTCGCCCCTTGAATATGGGAGCATCAATCATAAAACCCTCCTCGTTTTTGGAAGATGATAGATTAAAGGGGAATTGGATCCCATCCGGATCTTAGGATTACATCTTAATTATTCATCGTGTATCGTGTGGTTATAAATTATTTGACATTTTTTATTTAAAATTAAACACAAATAGTATCTGATGAAAACTGGTTATATGATATACGATAAATGATTAGGATGTGGGGATCCCTAGGATCTCCACAAGTGGATCCGGAGATGATCCCCTTCCATTTAAAGGAATGGACTTTCATTTTTTTAATGAGGATTAGTTGTGGGGCTCACATCACATCGAACTTCAACGATCTGAACCGTCTGTTTTTCAAGTTGCACCTCATACATAATCTTTGCGAAATATTAGTCAAATCAAAAATATTTGAGACATCTAATTGACTTCAAAAAATTGACGAACACTTTGTTCTATAAGAAACAATGTAATTTCATCGTGATAATTAAATAAGCAAATGGTTTCGGATTGAATTGAATTTTTGTAAGGATGATCTATGAATTGAGACTTACAAAATAAACTGTTTGGATCGTTGAAATTCGATGTGGAGTAAATCATACAACTAATTCCCTTTTTTTTCCAAAAAATAGGAATCCCTTCCCGTAAAAAAAACGTAAGATCAACTATTTGTATATAATATGTGAATTAGTAAAAGTCTGACAATATAATAATGGTCGCACTAAAAAATTGCGCGAAATGGTCGCACAAAATTTATATTAAAACACTCGTTTTGAGCAATATTTTTTTCGAGCAATTTATATTAAAATTTATCTTAAATGTTTTAACCATTAGATCTTAATTTTATATTTTTAAATAAAAATTTATCATTAAAACACTCGATATATCGCATACTCCGAGTAGTGTACAAAAACCTCGAATGAGTATGGGTCTTATCTAGGCCTATCACCAACTTTTTGGGCCCATGCAATAAGTAAAACAAAATTAATCCGGTCTGAGCAAAGTATACACAACACGCTCCCATTATCCTTCCCCACACATACAAACTCCCTTTTTATTTTGCCCAAAAACAAAAACAAAAACAAAAACTCCCTTTTTATTTATTTAATTATTATAATTCCAAATTTGAACCGCCGCTTCTTCGCTGTTCAAATATTTCACTTCATTTTACTTTCTCCATAGAACGACCTGCGCTTTTTCCATCACCGCAGCAACCCCGATCCAATCCGATTCGATTTCGCTGGAGCTCCAAAATGGACAAGTCCGAGTCGACGAACAAGAGGACCGATGCCGGCCAATCGAGGCGTCTTAGCCTTATCGACGTCTCGGCCGAGGACGATTCGCTCCTCAATTCCTTTGCTGGAGACAACATGTTTTCAATTTCAGGTCCTTTCAATTTTACGATTTATTTGGAATTTTTTCGATTTATTTTCGGATTTATAGGTAATTGGAGCTTTTTCTGGAGGCATATTGATCTAGTTCGCGCAATGCTCGGAATGGTTGAAATTGAACTGATTTCTTCTTGTTTGAAAGTATATGAATTTTTGGTGCATTTTGTTCTTTTCGTTCATTCGATACCTGATTAAGTTGGCATCGGTATTCTTATTGAAAAAGGGGAAGGTGGGAAATTGTTTTTGCTCAGTATTAAATCAGAAAGTGAAAGCTTAAGTTTGTGTGATGGAAGCATGAAAAATTGATTTTCTCACAAGTCTTGAATTTGTAATGCTGTACAAGTATGTAATGCAAAGGCTGTGCCTGGAGCGATGAGAGGAAAAGAAAAGTACCCTTCGCAATTTCACAATTTCCAGATTGCTGTTATTGTTACTGAATGCTTTTCAATTATTTCTGTGGTTGGTGTCACATTTAATATAATCTTTCGTGATGTGGTATGCAGAAGACCAGGAAAACAGAAATTTTCAGTTGTTTGAGGGTATGGCCGGTAACAAACTAGAGGACGTGCCTGAAAATTTTGAGCTAACCCAGCAAGTAACTGAACCTTCTGAGTCATTGGAACCTGAAATGACAAAGCAAAGTGGGAAGTATAATCTTCGCAAAAGTTTAGCTTGGGATAGTGCGTTTTTCACCAGTGCAGGTACGCTTGTGTGTAGATTTGATATTCAGAAGTTTTTAGGGCAATGTGATTTAGGTTGTTTCTGTCATGTGCATTCCAATTAATAGCGGGGATAAACATTTTGTGAATTCAGGTGTTCTGGATCCCGAGGAGCTGTCTTGCATGATTGAAGGAGATAAGACTGGGAAAAAGATGTTACCTGGAATTCAAGAGGAAGTTCACAGATCCTCTGATTCAATCTCCACATTAGAAAGTGATACTTTGACACTAGAAAGTATTGAGGCTAATTTGTTTGAAGATGTGAGAGCTTCAATCCAGAAATCAAGTAAAGCATCCAAAGCAGTGAATGAAAGTATGAAAGATGGTTTGGGAGTAACAGAAACCAACAATAGCAGTTGTAAGTATACTTTTGTCTGTACCATACTTCACCAATCCCGAAACCTACCTACCGATACTGATCATGTGTGACAAAGATTTGGACCAAACGGTGATCTCTTGTTTAATCGGACACCCTCATAAATTTGTGAATTAGCCTAGTTTATAAGCTCGTAAATTTGTGCTTGATGGAGAGGATTGGAAGCAGAAATGGAATTTAGTGCCACACTTTTTACTTGTTTCTTTCTTTTTGTCTCTTTTCTTGATACAATCTAACTGTAGAAATAAATTGAAGTTGATGGGATAGAGGGAATTTAACCAATTCTTTTGTTTAGCCTCTCGTTCTCTCGTTCTCTCTCTCTCTCTCTCTCTCTCTCTCTCTAGAGAAGTAAAGGTGGTGTTGCTATATAACATATATTCCTCTGTTGAGGAACTCTGGAATTATTTTGAAACCTTTGTGGTGCCACTGCCTTCACACTTCTCATACCAGCCTATTTTCTTAGGAGACTTATTTTCCATACTAACCAGGCCCTTTCATTTTTCAGCTTCGAAGGGTGTAGATGTTGTTTCTCAAAACAAGGTATGTCAAGTTAATGCGTGACTGCTTCAGTTTCCTTGATACGATCGTAAGAATATCTGAGATAATGTGTTGAGTTTCAGGTGATGCCTAGACTTGCTTCTAAGAAGCCAACTGTTAGTGTGCAAAAAGCAGGGAAAGTGAAAAAGCCATCTACATGTCCAGTAGTATCACAGGTATGTAAAACAAAATATACTCTAGATGGCGTGTTTACATGTCCAGATATCAATGCTAATTATGCTATACCATGCAAATGACTCACTAATCATACAAGCAGTTAGATCTGGAACATATACTACTGGGAAACCAATCTATTCGTAATATTGTAACGACAATTTAACCAACTTATCAAGCTTTAATGCTATTTGAATTCAACGATACAGAGAACGTATTTCTTCTTTATGCTGATTTAGTCATTTAAACATTATTAAAAATATATCTGATAATGATATTTTTAATTGACGCATCACTTATATTCTCTAAATGAAGTCTGCTTCTGTACATCGAGACGCAACCTCCCTTCTGAAGCAAACAAAGCTATTAGGGAAGCCTAGTCCTAGCCCAACACCTTTAACCAAGAGGGCTTCTCTGGGTAGCAATCTTATCCAAATGGAAAAGGATAACGTTAAAAGCACAACTGGTAACAAGACCTTCTATTTGATTATATTTCTTCATTTTTTCCCTTGAAGGTAGAAGTGTTTACACATGATATAAAATAATCATTTATCCTAGTTTGATCACTGCAGGTAGAGGGGCTCCATTGCCAAAAATACCCTCAAGTTCACGAGTTCTACCTAGGCCTGGACCATCTTCCTCCTTGGATGCTTCACCTGGAACTAAGAGAGAAGCAGCTTCTTCCTCAATTGATAATTCTGGCAGCACTTCTAACAACATTGGTCCCTTCAACTCCAAAAGAAAAACTGATTCCAATCCACCTTCCTCTGGTTCTACCTGCAAAACACCACCACGAATTAAGCCAGGAAATAAAAGTCAATCTGGAAAATCTCATCTGTCAACTAACAAGGTGCCTGGGACAAAGCTGCTTACTATTACATCCCCTGCTCGCTCATGGTCCTCAGAGTCGTCATCATCATCATCATCAATTTCAACTTTAAACAAAACGTCATACAGTCCAAGAGCTAGCCTTGACACAAGATCTTCCAAAAGCGGTTCTGTAGAAGGTGATGCACCAGAGACTATGGATTTGGAGAACCATGCCTATGATCAAAGCTCAACTGGAGATGAAACTCAGGTGACTGGGGTGCTTCGTCGTTGTGATGTGAAAGCTTCAACTGAAAATAGTGCACTTCCTCCAGCTTCAAAACCTTCCGGACTACGATTGCCATCACCCAAAATTGGCTTCTTTGATGGGGTTTGTTTTTCCTTGCTTCTTTTGATCCTTGTGTTCTAGATGGGAAATTATTATCTCCAGTCACTCCCTAAGTTGAATAAGATAAACTATACTGTTAATGAAAGGCCTAGGCTAAATAACTTGAAAGTAGCATTTTTGTGAATGTGATGAAAATTATGTCAGCAAAATCACCTTGTTACTTTTCTTTTGTTTTCTCTTTTAAATAACCACCTGGTATTTTACTTTATGTAGGCAAAGTCAGTGGTGTCCTCCCCGAAGGGAAGTATGCAGCCTCATCCTGTCATACGTAGTGGCTTGCCTAAAAGTGGGGCACGAAATGTTAGCCTGAGTGCGGGACAAAACAAGGGAAAAGTGGGAAAGCTTCAAGCTGTTAGAAATGTATCTAAATTGGGGAATAAGACCCCTGATGCTCAAAAAACCTCCTTTAACACGAAACCTAATTCTCTAGTACCACTCCAGCAAGCATCCAGTGCTGCAAAGAAGGTCCTTAGTCCTTCAAGGAACAGCGTTTCTCCTACAGTTCCAAGTAAAGGGCTTCATAAATCTGGCAGAGAAAATCGCTTGAAGGGTGAGAAAGTTGAAACTGAAGGACATGGTATTGACATTAATGAGCGAGAAAACTGTGTTGTAGAGTTGAAGGACAGCTCTGCTTTCTCGAAAGATAAAGTGAGCCCACAATCGAAGGTTCATTCCCATGGGAAGGCTGCGAAAGTCACTCCTATTGATGGCGGGTCCCCTACTATCTTTGATACAAGTTCCACTTTTGATGCTGACAATATAACCCTTTCTGATAAAATGGGTGATGCAACATACGAACCAAGTGATTTCAAGTAGACGGAAAGATCCCATCTCGAAGATCAGGTTGGTGACTTGAGCAAACAAGTAGATGCCATGAACATAAAAACAGAGACTCAGTAAATGCTGGTTGGTGATTCTCTCTTGTCAACTCAATTTCATTAGTGAAGATAATGCTGGTGCTGCTAGAACTGTGATTCAGATGATGTTTATTGATTGTGCCAAAATGGAGTAAGTCCTTAAATTAAGGCCGGAAAAAGCATGTGGGTTTGTTGATGATTCAAGAGGATCAACTGTGCTGAAGGGAGAACGAGCCGAAATTAGGGCAGTAGCGTAGAAGCTGGTCATGTTACATAGGATTGTTGTGTAGGACTTTGCATTGTAAATTGTTTCTTTGGTGCATATATCAAGAAGAAGAACGCACTTCAGTTGCCAATTAAATGGTTTTTCGTGTACTCTTATTCGATATTATTAAGTCATATATTTATAGTGTGTTTGTTTTGTTGTGGACGTTCTTTTTTGTTCCTGTTTGGCAAACTATGAATTGAAGTGAACTGGGCGGATCCACAATACGAGCCACTGTAAGCAATTTTGTGGACGTTCTTTTTCGTGTACTTGGTCTCAGACAGACTCGTCAAAATTACCAAGAGAATATCAGAATTTTGACACAAGTTGAGTTTTGTAATGAAGATGAAAAACCTCAGATAAGTAGCAGATCAACAGCTACAAGATTTGAGGCCAAGCAAAACCTTCAGTTCATGCGAAATGTAAAGAAACGACACATTTGCCGTGGCGGAACAGAAGAGTGAGCATAATTCCCAAAAGGAACGATTGGAATGTCCCAAAGTTTCAATTAATTAATATCAGTCCTAAAAAAACTTTGATCCTAATTAATATTAATATTAACAAGGATCCAAAGTTTGGGTCATAATGAAATAACACTATAATTAAGAAATTTGTATCTAATTCCATCCCAATTAGTCATAATTGAACCAATAAGGTAACTTAAAAAAAGAGAAAAATTTAATCGTCTCCAAATTAAACACGTGGTTAAAGTGCGTAATGACTTAGCCCATTCCTCCGCCCCGTCTAAATAATATAGTTTGTTAAAAAAAAATTGAGTAACGGCTATTTTCTAAGAGTCAGGACTCTATCTCGGGACTGAGTGTTTCTGTTTCTTACTCTCCAAGCAACTACTTAACCCTATACCAAAACCCTCACTCACTGCCCCCTCCATATCTATAAATATTCCACTCATATATCTATCCATCCGTCACTCTTGCTCTCTTGCTTTTGTCCGATCAAAACGCAAGGGCAAACACTAACAGACAGATCAAGAAACGGGGGTTTCCATCTATCTCTCTCTCTCTCTCTCTCTCTCCGGTGTTAATGGACAATCATTCCCTTGTGCTGTGCGGTTTCCACTTCAAACCCACCGATCAAGAACTCATCCATCACTTCCTCCGCGACTTTCTGACGAACAGACAGCTGCTACTGCTGCAGCCATACAACACCATCATACAGGAGTGCAATCTCTTTGGCAACAGATCCGAACCCTCTGAGATTTGGGAAGCCTATGAAGGAGGAGCTCAGCTCACCGATCAATCCTTGTATTTCTTCTCCGAGCTCAAGAAATTAAACCCCATGGGTTCCCACATTGATCGAAAGATTGGAAGCGGAGGTACTTGGAATATTGGCAAGGCAGTTGCCACATGGGTTAATGGGACTGATGGAAGCCCTTCGCCCATTGGACTAAAGAGAACCTTCTGTTACAAGAATGAAGGCTCGGAGGACAACGGCAGGTGGTTACTTGACGAATACAGTCTTTCGCCAGTCATAGAAAGAACTACAGGGATTCTAGGTATGATTTTGATTATGTGCTTTGTCGGCTGAGGAAGAAGGACGGATCACTTAACAAGAGAAAGTGTTCAACTTCAGAGGATCAAGCGACGAGTTCAAAGAAGAAGAAGTGCGATGACGAAAAGATTTTAAAAGATGATGATCACGAGGGATCAAAACAAATTATGAATGCGATCAATGCTGTTGAGGAGGAAGGACCACAAGGCACTTCTTGTCTAACTAATGATCTTGTGGCTTTTGATCATGATCAGATCAATGAGTTTACGGTCGGTTATGATGTTGCTGCTTATGTTTATGACATTGATGCGAAAGTTAACGAAAAAATGACAATCAACGTTGCCAAATTAGAAGAACTAGAAGAACTAGAAGAACTATTGGGTCAAGAATTCCAAGAAGCGCCTCTGCCAACTGCTGCTGGGGTCGTTGTTGCTGATGGAGAGCAAGCTTTGAATTCAAGTATGTTAGAGGAGTTAATTAAATAAACCCAAGAAATGCCTTTGGCCGCAGCATGTAGAATCGCTTAAGATGGAGCGGTAGAAGAGAAAGCTTGGGATCCAAGTTTAGTAGAGGAATATTGGCTTGCAGAACCCAAGAACAGGAACCTCAGAATCCAAGTTTAGTACAAGCATTTTACCGCCGGAATCGTTGCTGATAGAGGAGTAGGAGAAGCTTATCATCCAGGTAACTTTGACAATGTGGTCGACCAATCAATATTCGGCACTGGCAGTAGTTACTTGAATCTGTTTTTTAAGTAAATTTACTCTTGATTTGTTAATCTGTCGACCAAATAATGGAGATCAAGCCGTCAAAGCAGGGCAGTAGTGCATGTAGTAAGTGGGTAAAGAAAAAATAAGATTTTATTTCAGTCAAAACTGTAAAATCTATGGTGCATAAGAAACAAAATTCATTTTCCAATAGGCGAAGACGTAGGTGAGACATTTCTTGGATAGCCTTATCTAGGCTAAAGCCTTAAGGCATGAGGCAAACCCTTATGGTACGGGTCCTATAATTTTTATTTCATATATAAAATATAATACTTTGAACAAATATTATTTGTCATTCAAAAGTGCACAAGTCATAAACAATTTTAACTCACAAACATAAAAAAACAAAAAAAACTAAAAACAAAAAGAAATCATTCATCCAAATATGGTCCACATACTTTGAAAATAAAAAATAAAAAAAATGTGACAAACATATTTTTACTCTCATTAATATCCATTCATTTTACAACATTAATATGATCCACATACATTCCTTACCCACTCTCTTTCCCTCGGTACACACTCTCTCTCTCTCTCCCACTTTCCCTCTTCCCTCTCTCGCTCGTTAATATCTATTAATTTGCAACATTAATATGGTCCACGTACAACCTCCACCCACTCTCTTTCTCTAGGTACACTCTCTCACTTTCCCTCTTCCCTCTTCGCTCGCTTTCCCTCTTCCCTCATCTCTCATCTCTCACTCTCACTTTCCCTCTTCGCTGGGCGGTGGCGGTGCTCCTCAGTTGGTGGTGTCATGCTGAGAAGAGGAGCGTTGAGTGTTTCACAGAGAAGAAGAAGAAGGCGAGGATGTCGAGGACTCGAGTGTCGAACGAAGAAAGCTGAGAGGATGTTCCATAAAAAAAAGCGCCCAAGGACGCCCTAAGGCGCACCTCGACCACATCTAGGCGAGCTTTCGCCTTCTCCCACTCGGTAGAGGCTTTTTCACCCTCCCCGCCTCCAAAGTCGTCTTGGCGTGCCTCATGGCGCATTTTTGAAATCATTGCAGTTTTTTCACACAAAAACTGATACAGTTTGATACCTCTGCCACGGAGGAAGCGTGAACAATGTGTATGCAAGCTTCATCTTGCTGATAAGTTCTCCAAGGGATTCAAAGCTTGTAGCAGCCTGCCTAACTGCCTTTGGTACAGTTGTACGGTCTCGATTTATCTTATCACTGGCTCAATCAATCTTCTGCTTGTCTGCCGGGTCCAATTTCCCATCAACCTTCTCATCCTTGACGATGTTCCTCAGGTTGTAGGTGTATTTTTCGAGGAGTTCTTGGCATCCAACTTCCTCTTATCCTCCTCATTTTCAGCATTCTACCTCTCCGCCTCCTGCAAAATCTCTCAATCTCTTCCTTTCTAAACCTGCCCTTGTCATTGGTGGTCTTGCTCTTCACAAAAGAAACCGCAAAGCTCTCAGTCTTCTTCGTTCAGAAGAGATGCAATCGAAAAACTAAGAGGAAACCAATCCCTAGCATATGAGAAGACATACAATTGAAAAACAGCATCAGGAGATCGAATTTCACTACCTTGAAGGTGCCCATGATTGTCGTTTGTTTGCAACATTCTTCCACATCTAGTTCCAAAACACGAACGAGAAACATATGTCCTACTGAACTACCCTGCAATTGTGCAATCTCCGTACAAATTACAATCATACTAAGCTATATCCAACATAAGAAATACCATTTTCTGTTGGCGTTCAAATTTGATAACAAGAGTGAGGCATTGTATGTACAAGTTTGATCTTACTAACAAGTCCTCCAAGATTCAAACAAGGGGTGTGATATCCACACACCCTTTTTTACTTCGTACACACCCTCTTAATTTGTGGCCATCAGATCGACTGAATTAAAGAAGATCAAATGGAAGAAATTAACAAAGGTTGTGTGAGAAGTAAAAATGGGTGTGTGAATAGCACATCCCTTCAAACAAACTACAAGTTCGAAATCAAGTCAAAATAAATACTTTAGGAATTTGATCCCAATCAAACAAATACTTAATGGGACCAAATATTCCTGCATTGAGAAGAAAAATATATTTACAAAAGAATTTGAATGGGAAATGAACACACTTTTTCTCATCTGCCTGCACAGTCGTGTTTAATTTTGTTCGTTATTCATGTTTAATTGATTTAATCCAACATCAAGATATAAAAAAAAAAAGTGAATAAAAAGAGAAAAAAAGATGTGTGTTTATCATTTCTCATTTAATATTCGATTTAGCTTTAGCATAACTCCACTTTCAATCCAAGAATTAAAATACAAACAACAACAACAAAGCCTTTTCCCACTAAGTGGGGTCGGCTATATGAATCCTAGAACGTCATTGCGCTCGGTTTTGTGTCATGTCCTCCTTTAGATCCAAGTACTATAAGTCTTTTCTTAGGGTCTCTTCCAAAGTTTTCCTAGGTCTTCCTCTACCCCTTCGGCCCTGAACCTCTGTCCCGTAGTCACATCTTCGAACCGGAGCGTTAGTAGGCCTTCTTTGCACATGTCCAAACCACCGTAACCGATTTTCTCTCATCTTTCCTTCAATTTCGGCTACTCCTACTTTATCTCGGATATCCTCATTCCTAATCTTATCATTTCTCGTGTGCCCACACATCCAACGAAGCATCCTCATCTCCGCTACACCCATTTTGTGTACGTGTTGATGCTTCACCGCCCAACATTCTGTGCCATACAGCATCGCCGGCCTTATTGCCGTCCTATAAAATTTTTCCTTGAGCTTCAGTGGCATATGACGGTCACACAACACGCCAGATGCACTCTTCTACTTCATCCATCCAGCTTGTATTCTATGGTTGAGGTCTCCATCTAATTCTCCGTTCTTTTGCTAGATAGATCCTAGGTAGCGAAAACGGTCGCTCTTTG